AATTATATTTTCAAAAAAAAAAATATTTTTCAGATATTATCTATATGCCTCTACATGTATGTTGTTTTACTGTTCTTCTGGTGCATTTATGCATAAAACTTATAAAATACACAGCTTATTTTTACATAATTAAGCATTAGGATTTTTATTCATATGTTATATATAAAACTATAAATTTTTGCAAGTTTTTCACGTGTTTTATATGTGAACGCCAATTTGTTATTTATTTAAATAGAGAAAGCGATTATAAGAAGGATTTCCTTGATTTTATTTACATTAAATTATTGAATACATTTCCCGCACAAACCAACGCGCTGAAAAAGACGCGCCATACAAGCGCAAAATAAGATCTTATTAAAAAATAAAAGAGAAGTAAATACAACTTAAACTTATAATACCCTTGTACAACAATAAAATGAAGAAAATATTTTGCAAGTTGCAGAGTTACACAAACAACTTCACACGCGAAACTACCAAATATGGCGCTGATGTATTGTTGTTCTTGTAATTTTCGATCAACACCCCTTTTCACGCATATTTCTTTTCACTACTTTTTTCGCATATTAAAATTTGTACGTATGTATATAAAACGAGCGCACACGCCGCCGCTTCTTCTTCCACTTCCTCTTCACTCTGTCCGCCGACCACTCCTTTGCGCTCAACACCTTTACACGCTTCACGAACGTCCACAGGTTGGCAGGTTGACCCGAAAGAAAACATTCAATTCTATCAGCGATGCGAATATCATGAAAACCAAATACATAACCAAACAGGCCATGCCCACTTTTCGATCCAATTTGAATTTGTTGAATGAGAATGTGATGTAGAGCAAAAATAGTGTGGAGAGTAACGTTATAGCGGAATACTCGAGACCGGCCGAATTGATGCCGACATAATTTTGTCCCTGTTGTATGGGGAAGAAGACGGCTTTGATGAGCCACGGTACGCCCAAGCACAGAAGTATATCGAATGTATTGGAGCCGATCGAATTACAGATGCCCATTGAACCATGACCTAGAAGGAGTGAAAAGTAGCAAAAAAATGTAAGTTGAGACTATTTATTGAGTTAAAAAAATTTGTATCAAGAAGTAAATACTTTCTTGCCGGTTCAAGGTAGCCAAAAAGGCTTGAATAATTTTTGACACCTTCCTTATCTTCATTCCAGCTTAAGCAAATCCACTACAAAATTATTTTTCTTAGAAATAATTTGGGCGCGAACCGTTTAATTTTTCAAAATAAAGAGCTGAGTCCACATTTTTCAAAACCGAGTTAGTGCTCTATCTCTTTATCGCGGTCTGAATGTCTGCTCTTACCTCTCTTAGCCACAATAACACTGGAAACCGCTTCTGGCACACTTGTGCCCGCTGCCAGAAATGTAATGCCCATCACTGAGTCCGGAATTTTTAGCGTGTCACCTTAAAAAAAAACAAAGAAAAGCTTTATTGAAAGTTCAAGCAAACACGTATGTCGACTTTACTCACCTATAATCGTAATCATCCAGGCGACCACATATGACAACGAACCAATCCACACGATGCACATAATAAAAGTCAAGGGGAATATTTTATTGTTCTTTGTCTTCTTGCAATCCGGTATCGCTATGCGAAAGAGCAAGTGTATGGGCCAAATAATGATCCAAGTGAACTGGGCGAAGCAGCTCTTCTCCTTCGGGTAATGCAGCAGTGAATAGTGCTCTTCCTCCACCTCCTCATCGCTCGCTGTAGATGCGGCAGCTGCGACCGAGGCGGGCACGGCTATGGAAATGGCGCCAGTTGGTTGCAATTCCACTGCGCCTTTCTCAGTGGCAAGGCTGCTGGATATGAATTTGGCTTCGGTAGGTGGTTGTGGTGTAGCTGCTGTCGTTGTTGTTGTATTTGAGTTAGAATTGGTGTTGGAATTTGCGGCGGCAGCTTGTGTGGGAGGCGGTGACGCCGTTGGCTGCAGCTTTGGCGGCTCATTGTTAACACCGCCATTTAGTTGTATTGTGGAGAGTTTGTGGCAGATGCGATTTTCCACAAGATCTATAAGATTATGCTCATATGAGTATTTGTATTGCTTTAGGTACTCTACTGACGGTTGGTTAGTGGAAAATATGTTAATACCGGTTATTTCATGCTAATATAAGTTTTTGAGGTTATTATCTTTACAGCTTACAAGGTCTTCATGCTTTCGCGGGTATTCCCTAAAAGCCACTAGATTAGAACAAAGCAGACAAGGTCAGATTTTCTTTGAGTTCCATAGACTACAGGGAAAACTAGGTTAAGTCCGACCATCATCTTTCACATATTCCGTAAAAATTGCTTTTGATGGTTGTCTAAATAATAGAGAGTTGTAAGTGCCGAAACCGGGGGAATAAAGCGCTTTCATATAGTTTATGAGTATATCTTGGTAGTTTCAACTTCAAAGCTCATCTTCTTCTTTATTGACGTCATATTTAGAAGTTCACACAAGTGAGAAAAGTTCTCTGAGCGCCATTCACTTGGGAGTGGCCAKAAACGATTCTCTTATTTTACCAAGTATCCTCTGGGTAGCCAAAAAAACATCCGTTTGTAGGCGAGCTTGGAAAGCTTTCGCCAAAACCATTTTATTAGTGGGGTTCAAATCCCAAAACTCCATGTTTTGACATAACAAGGCGGCTATAAAACTAGGTAATAGATCTTGATCACAGGGTTGCATTCTGCCTAGTAATATTTTAAATTCGAACGGTGAATATTTATATATGGGGGATCGTTTTGCCAACCCAGAACGAACAGGCTGCCTGTCTTGACTTGTTGCGCAGAGTTTCTGTCGCTTCATTTTGTGACCGAGTTCTTTTTTGGGAACCACCTTGTCCGCTGGTTTCAAAGAGGAGGTTCTGATTATTTGCTGTATGCCGGACACACAGCTAGCATACAGCTGTCATTCAAATTGACTCATCAATAACAAAATAAAGATCTTTTTACACCTTTTTGTACTATAAAAATTGGAACTGTGTAACATATTATATCTTTGGTGTAGCCGAAGTCAACTATTTTTCTAGTTTTCTTATATATGTAAGTAATCTTTTTTAAGTATAATTAGTGTATTTATGTACATGTGGGTTAGTATATTATGTATTTCGTATATAATATGTATTCTGTTCATCAACCTGGTTCCTTCTCATTGCTGTTTTTCGTTTGTATGCTGCAATTGGAGGAGCGACTGCGTGAGCGAGCCTGCTTTACGCCACCTGAATGCGTGTATGTGTGTGTTTTTGTTTGTGCCAGAGTAGTATGAAAGTGTAAAAATGTATAAAATGTCAATTAAATCAATTGTCATGTATCCGTTTTTGAGCATTTTATAGCTATATAAGCAATATTTTGTATGAATACAGCTATCTTCACATGTTTTTGTTGCAACTGTTATAAAAAAAATTATCGCCCAAAATCAGCTCACGTACCTTTTGCACACTTCTGAAATGTTTTATCAAAATACATCACCGCCAAGTAAACGGCATAGAGTGAGACTAATATCAGCGCCTCGTACCACTCGACGCGTTCATCGTGCATAACGCAAATCAATATGGCGACTGTGATACCATAAGCTATGCTATCGCGCGTCAAGGGCCACCAATCGAGTGGGATGGTCTAAAAGAATTCAGGCGCAGATATTGATAAAGAATATTCATTATTAAAAATATTATATAATAGCTGCTAAATAGATGTTAGCTACTCACCATGCCCGCGCCAATCCCACAGCACGCGGCGACTGCTAAAATATTGAATACCGCCGAACCGACAATGGTGCCCACGCCAATGTCACCCTCTGTGATGAATGTACCTATCACATTGACGAAGAGTTCGGGCGCTGAGGTGGCCGCAGCCATGAAGGTGGCACCAGCCACATCATTTGACATATTTAACGCTATGGYGAAATTGTAAAAATAAATAAATAAATGCCAAAAGAGTACAAGAAAATTTGATATTAATTAAAAAAAAAAAAATTCCCTTAAAAA